GTGTCTCTGATTCACGCTTGACAGAGATCTTAAGCTCCTGATGCAGTTCATCTCATCGAGTTGTTGAATGAGCAAAAAAATTATAAATGGCTTCAATTATACCAAAAAAGGTAATAACTGTTGTTTCCCGACTTGCAGCATGAAGACATGCTAAGTTCAAACTATGGTTGTCACAGTTTATAAACACTGCTTTTGAATTTTTGTTCAGAATTCTTTGTTGAACACCTGACAGATGACCTGACATGACAGCAGCATTATCATAACATTGTGAACAACAATCACTCAATAAAATTCCATCCACTTCTAATTTTGTGCTTATTGTTTTCTCAATATTGGCAGCATCTTTTTTTCCTTTATCTGTATAAAGTCAATAAATGACTCTTTGACTTCTACTTTTCTTGTCTTAAAGTCAATGTCAACAAACCGAATTACTTGGGCCAATGGCTCACGATGGGCTAAATTGGGTGTGGAATCAAACAGAATACTATAGTATTTGTTTCTACTAATTGCTGAGAAACAATAATTTCGCATATGTGAAGCCATGAGATTTATAAACTCATTTTGGATTTCAGGAGAAAGATAAGATGTTGATATTTGCTTGTTTTTAACACGCTCTAAATGCTCTCTCATTACTGGATCATACTTTGCTAATAACTGCAAATGTGACAGGAAGGTGGAGGGTTGTTGCATGATAATTTGCATGCAAGACCCAGTGAACCATGATGATTGTGGGGAATGTAGGAGTGCAAGGCTTGTGACATGTGAAAAACATTGTTTGCATGTAGAGGGCAGCACTGAATGAGAATAACTACATCTGTGAGAGGAGGTAATGTACCATATCATTGTGAAAACAGTTAATTCAGAATTACTTCATTCTAACATGCTTATCATGGCATTACTGTATAGTTTGTTTTTCAGAATTTTTGAGTAAAGCTATACATTTGGCTATATGTGCTTAGCAATCTCCAATTTTGAAATGATATACTTTGAACTCTCAACTCCACAGTTCAAGCATACTAATTACTTGGTCATGTCCAACTCAGTGCTTTATAACCATTTTACAGAACATAGAAATACAATAATTGTAACAAGCTATAGTTAATGAATAAAACACAATTAGGAATTACTACATGTAAGGTTATTTCATTTTAACTTGCTCAATATCACAGAAGTATTTTACAGCCGTAACAGATATAATAAACAGTAGCAAATATGTGTGTTTAAGATGGTAACATGCAAACTGCTACAGAGAAACGGTACCCTAAAATAATTTAATATAAATGCACCAATGGAACCCAAAGAAAGTCTTACCTGTCCACATTATATCAATACCAGGAAGTAGCTTGGTCCCGACAGTGTTGAGGTATTCAGAGTTTTGTACATTTGGAATGGCTCGTCCTGCACAGTATTCTGTTAAGATGAAACTTGAGTTACTTTCATCTAAATACTGTTTATTAAATTTGCAATTGACTTTAGAAATTAATATTAGGTATCTTTAAACTATTCCAATGAATCAAAGCCCATGTAGGGTGATGCATGCAAGCACCATCTCTCAAAAGAAAGAGAAAAAGGTTCAGCATGAAACCATAATGCCCGGAGAAGAAGGGAGAAAAAAACTGTGAAACATTTCTCAAAAAGATCTAGGGTAGGCCTAGTGGAATCCACAGCAGAGGCTTGGGAAGGCAAGACATAATCAGCACTTTATTCAAACTGCCAATAATCTTTTATATCTGACTTTCTTCAAATTCTAAGCTAACCTTCCTTAAATTCTTTTCACTTTAAGAATTAATCATGGTCACCTTGGGGACAGTTTTCCTAAGCTCCCTTTCATGTCCAGAAGTTGAGTAAACTTATTTTAACTAGGTCACCTTAATATGCTTGTCCAGATGCATGAGAGGTCATGCAGTACAATATAAAATCAAGTGCAGCATGACTTAAATCCTTGGGAGACAAAAGGGGCAGTGAATGGTTACTATATATTCAGTTTTTATTGATTACAAGATTAAAATTTGAAAATATGTTCCGTAGTAGTGTAAATGCAAGAATGCAGAGAAGCACAACATCCTATAATACATAAATTTTCTGAAAAGCTCCTATCAAATATTTTGATATTAGGAGAATCATAAAATGGTTTAAGGTTCACCATAACTTAAACTTGTAAATAATAACAAAACACATGCTTTTCTAGATTTGTTAACTATACTAGTTAAAATCATTTTTAACACATTGCTAGTCACTCAAAAAATAAACAAGACTATTTTAATATAAATATGTTAGATATTTTTCATTGACAGAGAAGTGAAAAACTATCTAAAAATATTCCACTCACAGACATGGCTCAGTTAAATCACATAATTAAAACAGTCAATATAGAATACAAATAATTTTCTTAATCATAGACAGCAAAAGCATTTAACCTTTCATAACTACTGTTTTATTTTTAATAAATTTATTAAAAAAAGTTATGCTGGGTCAATCATTTACCATGGTGTGACCGTTGACTCATTACAGATCACATAATTATAAAAGTTGTAATAGGATACAAATAGGATACTTTCTTTATCCTAACTTTACATACTGTAACTCAAGTCTAAGCATTTATCATACAACAGAGATGTAAAACTATATCTTTTATCTCTGACTTTCTTCAAATTCTATGCTAACTTTCCTTAAAATTCTTTCCACTTTAAGAATTAGTCCTGGTCACTTTTGACTTGTTCTTCCTGAGTTTCATTTATGTCCAGCCAGTGGGAAGACTTAGTTTAATTAGATTATCCTTAATATACTTGTCCAGATGCATGAGAGGTCATATACACACAGGTTGTACTATTCGGTGGAGATCTAAGAGGAATTTGTCACATACAAAAATAACATGCAAGTTTATACATGTCTATGCAGTATGCAGTTTACAGTACTAAATTTAACTAATTCTGTCAGCATGGGCTCAGTCATTTTAACTGATCTTACAACCAACATATAACCACAAGGTAACCATGAATGTATCCATAATATAACTTTTAAATGTAGTAAATGTATCTTCATGAAATTTGGAAAACTTTTAGTAAATATTATGTCTTTTGTCCACAAAAAAATCAGATTTTTTAATTAATTATTTTTATGAAGGATTTGTCTGTAAATATATGGAATCAGAGTGTAACTCAGACACTGACTAATTCAAGTGCAAGGTCATTTACATGTTAAGATAAAAAATACTTTTTTTATTTTATAGTTTCCAAATTTAATTTGCACAACCTATAAAACCACCTAAATGAATATCAACCTTTTTTTTCAGTAAACCTTTATATTTTATCTATTTTCTTAACAACACAAAATAATAACATGTACAAAACAAACAATATCCTATAATTATTACAATTCAATTGGTTTTCTAAGGCATAAGTGTCTTAAAATATTTTCCATAACGGCTCAATCTGAACTAGGAGATAGCAACTCTCAATCTGTAGGTGAATTAACTAAAAATTGCTAATGAGAACAAGATAACCTTATATATCACTCAGTAACTTAAAACTATCTTTCTAATAGTTGTAAATGATATAATAGCAAACATAAGAGAGAATTATTGGAAAATTGTGAAAGAGAAAATATGATAAGAGTGAAGCAATTGGATATTTTTGAGGGAATTTTACAATTGCTTCAGTATTTTCAGCATTTTAAAACAGTTTAAGAAAGAAGTTATGATGATTTTCTAAGTTTTATTTTAAGTGAACATACACATGAAGAAATGGCATAAGTAAAAATGCCTGTGTTATGAAATAAGGTCAAGAGCTAGGAAAGTACAGTTAGTTGGTTAAGTGGTATTGAAAATCACGAGTTAAGAGTTATAAAAAATGAACCTTCAACAGAGACGCTGAGAAAAACACTAGCCATAAGTGATAAGTTACTGACAATGAGTTAGTAGCACTGCATAGGCTACTAAAAAGTCTCAAATCAGCACTTTGATGTCAGATCTGTTACTCCAGACCAGTGTAGTTGTACAAGTAAAAAGGCAACCAGAGCACTCACCATCAAAGTAACCAATTACTTGAGAGTTTTGGTTCTTGTTTTGGATTAGCCTAGGGAGTTGCACAGATCGACCAATAAAGTGTTAGAACTACTTGCAGGTAGTTAGGAATACTATTTGGAAAGTCAAAAGAATACAAAGAAAATATGGTTCAAAATTGTCGTGTCTGGAGCTAAAAATCAGTTCTCTCCATGAAGAATTGAGATTATCCCCAAAGTTGCTGATAATCGAGAAATTATGAGTATGAAAGTGTCCCAGCTGCCAAAATTTACCAGATCAACTATGTTGTAATTAATGAAACTATTTCTCTCTTAAGCAGTTAATGTGAATTTGATTAGATTCTAAAGAAACATATGAAAGTTAAGAAACTTGATGTTATATAAGAGTTATAATCATCAGTAATGTTAACCAAAATGTGCTATTCTATGAAGAGTTAGCAAATTATTAAAGAAGTGTATTCTATATTAAGAAACTTAATGTAATGTGTTGAATATCAGTCTCAGGATCTTTAGTCTAACGGTAAATCTCCTTGAGTTAGTGACTTGTGAGCTCCACTTGTCACTGCAATCCTCAAATAAATAAATTTTTTGTAATCGGCAGTATAGTCCAAACTCCAACGACTAGCCCTAAGGGTGCTGCCCATTACAGGAGGGAATGTCAAGTGGGTCTGACCTTCTGGTTAATATCTCCATAAACAAAGAAGATTGAAATTAGGCTTTGCCTTAGTAATACTTATGTTATAAAGAGCAATATACATTGAACTCGAAACATCACAGAGGGGTGATGAAAAATTAAAAAATGGGAAAGTTGGAGTGAAAATATGTCATGTTTCATGGACAAGCTGAAATTGAAAATTTAAATATGTCCTTTTGAAATTAGAAAAATGAAACTTACATAATATTAATATCTGATATATTAACTACATTTTGGTGCTAAGTTTATTTGTATACGTTAATAACAAAGTAGTTTAATTTAATTTTGAAAATAACTCTGTAAAAAGTTGTGACATGGACTTTTACCTACCCCTGAAGAGAAGTTTAATGGAATATGTACTTAAGTTAATTATAGTATAAGATAGATATAATATATTTCATTAAATTTCGTAAATAGTGATAGCTACATTATATAGTATTTCTGAGTTTTCTTCTCAAATTTTATGTTTATGTGTGTATATAACTTACAGTATTACTTTGAATTAATTTGATATGCATCTTATATATTATACTAGATAGATTTAGTATACAATGTTAAATTTCTTAAATAGTAATATCTACATTGGTTAAATGAAATAAGCATGATACATGAAGCTTCACACATGACAATTCTGCTTCAGTACTTAGTAAGTTGTTAAACAGGCCCAACTTCACTAGATGCTTCTAGGTTAAGAGCCAAAAAACAAGGATACTCAACTGATGACCACAGACAATGTTTAGAACAAGGATACTCAACTGATGACCACAGACAATGTTTAGAACAAGGATACTCAACCGATGACCAAAGATAGAGTGGTCATAGAAGTTTTTTAGTGGATTCCCTGCTACTTATAATTAAGATTAATTATTATTAATTGTATTGTAGAGTTTTAGTAACTTGTCTGACAGAAATTTTTACATAATTATATCATTTTCAAGGAATACATAATGCAAAACAAGATCTTGGATAAAAAAAAAGTTTTATTATCAGTCATTCACTACATAGTCTACCAGTATGTAAATATACATTCACCCCAGAAAGAAAGAAAGATGTTTTATTAAATAAACAATCAAGAAACAATGGATAAAAGACTGTCACTAGTGTTTTAGTAGTGTATCTTCCCTTTGCAATATTTAAGGCAAAGACACAGTTATATATCATATTTATAATACCTAAAATCTGAACCTGTGGAATTTTACCCTACTCCTGAAGAAGAACTTGTATGAAGGTGTCCCAAGAAGTTGGTTTGTAAATTTAGTGCAAAAACTATTAAGGATAGTCTACCAATGCTCAATAAGGCTCATAGAAGCTTGTCAATGCCCTATCTTTCAAGCCCTTGTTTTGTGATTCAAGTTGAACGAGCAGAAGCCCCATCTTGCATGAAAACTCTGACTTGTTTAATAAGTTGGTTCTAGTGTAAAAAATTAGCATGTCATCTAAAGCACTGTGGTGTAATAGTATCTGTGGTGCCCACTGCCGCAAACGTATGATATTTTTTGGAGTGAGGAGTGGCTTCTGTCTATCTCCTTTGCCATTGTAACCTATGCTATAAGATAACTTGTAATGATAATGGTTTATATTTACACCTGTCCTAAAACAACAGCAGGCATCTGATGTGGCTCATTCTCCACACCTATCCTCAGGGTACAAAGAGTATCTGTTGTGTTGGTTTTGGGTGTATGTGTGGGCTGTATAGAAACTTTTATTTTACTACATGACCGGAACTGCATTATAACTTTACTTACTGTGGAAAGTAGTGCAGTAAATTATTATCTGGTGACTTTTTGCTGACTTCCACCACCTTCCCATCAGACAGATATGTGAACTTGTGAAAATAAGTCTAATTCCTGTATTCCTAATTTTTTTGTGTGGCATGGCTGTTTGTATTCTGTGGTCTTTAACAAGCTATACTCATATTTATACCTTGGCATTACTTGGATATGATATGATAAAGATGGCCAATATATATTCTCGAGGGGGTCTGTTTACTTATTGGTAGGATGTGTATTTTTCAAGTATTATGTTGGGAATATTCTTTGTAACTATATGTGTTAATCTTTGAAAGTTGTTAACACTATATATATATAATATATAAAAAAATAAATAAATCATATGAATTGATAATTTAGTTTCTATTTTCGGTTCATGTAACAAGAAACAATGCAAGACAAATGTATTTCTCAAACCATTCACAAAATTTTATACTTGGGTGTATATTAAGCCAAATTAATACCATAGTTAATGAGGTCTAGAAGAAAGAGGGAAAAAACAATTTCCAGTTTTTGTATTTTTAATAAGGCCTAATAATTTTAATACATAAGCAAATATTGACTGGTAGCAAAGATAAATAACCTTATTTTATGTCAAACATGTAGATGCTGTAACTTACTCACCAGTAGGACAAAAGAGGAACTTGGGCTGAGAAAGATGCTGGAATACTTCATTTGTGACAGATACTTGTGCATGACCAAATGACTGGAAAATCTCTTTGTCTGTCTCACTAATGTCTGGCTCTATGTCATCAAACAAAAGTGCAAAAGCTGTGCACCCAAACTGCGAGACCTACAAAACGTATACAATGTTAATAACTATGTATACTGATCAATATGAAATACTACAATTGATACATTTTCCCAATGATGACTCAACTAAAAAATGAACAGGAATCTAAAAAAATCAATTTGTGGTAATTCTACCACAGCTGTTTTAGCTTTATGACTGAGTAAAAGGTCCTTTCAAGATCATCTGTATAAGACTATTGGAAAACTGATAACACAAGCATTCTCAGGAGATACTTTCATTTTTCAGGGACAAATAAAAATGAAGGTCTGCATTCCCGATTCATCTATAGCAAAGGTTAACTTCTGAGAGTATTCAAGCTACCTTGCTTCTAGTATCATGATTTATTCACTTTTTTATCCTAAGTGCTTTATAAGTATCATAACCTTAGAGGTGTATAATAGCAAAGGTTTTTAGCTTTCAAATTCTTTTGCAAAACAAATTGCAAAATATAACCTGTGTTTACTTGAAGTTCACATAAATATTGGCACATATTAAGTATTTAAACTATAACTTTTAATGCATCATGTGTATCTTCACAAATTTTGGTAGACTTTTAGTAACCATTACAAGGCTTTTGTACACAAAAATCAGATTTTTTAATGAAGTATTTTTACTAAAGATTTGTTTGTGAATGTATATTGAGTCTGTTTCATTACTAATCCAAGTGCGAAGTGATTTTCATGTTATGATTACAAAACTATTCTTCATCTCAAAAATATCAAATATCATTTGTGTAATCTCTACAACCTCCTAAATACATTTCAAATATTTGATTTGAGTAAAACTTCATATTTTATCTGTTATTTTTCTATTCTAACTCTATACAGGGTCTGTCAATTTGACCAATCGGGTATCCACCATAAAAAATTATGAAATAAACATAAATTATGCTTTTTTGTTCTAGAATGACTACAAATTATAACAGAAAAACACAAATGTTAGTCTAAATAGCATAAGTTTCATAACATTAAACATATATGTTTATTATTTCTATTATATTGACCTTTTCAGCCATGCCTGGCTAACATTACAGAAGTTACAATGTCACAGCGCACATGCACTCATGTTACTGTATCCAAGAATATAAAACTGGTCTTTACAAAGAGAACTGTCTTGGCCGTGTTTTAGTGGACTAGTATTTTGTAAAATACAGTCACATTGCAGTTATAATACATTATATATGTATATAGATTATTGCTAATTAGAAATAAGTTCTTAAGCTTGTATTTCTTAAAACATATAACAGTAAATCAAAAAGTATAGCAGACAATTATCTTTTCTAGTTACAAACTTTGTACTCCTTTACTGCTTGTTGTAGGTTGCTAAACCTTATGAAATTTCCCACATGGAGGATGTGAAAAGAAAATTTTTTTTTAGGTTTTATATATACATTTTAAATAACCAAAAAATCATAAATTACTTTATCGATACCATAGAATTCCACTATAACTTATCAAGCATAGTAACTAAGCTGTATTTGAGTCTCAAAAAATATGAAATTTGGAGCTCACTAAAGCTTTACCTTACAAGTTGGAATCTTGTATGAAAAAAATTTGAAAAAGGCTGACAAAGTCACTAGGGGGACATTCTAAGCTTTCATTTAGTTATTCATACATCATAGACAGAAGTAGGTATAGCAAGCAAATGTTTCCAAAAATGAAAAGAGGTGGGTGTGGCCACTGTGTTTGAGTCAGTACATGTAGCGATATCTCAGCAAATAGAAAAGACAGGAGGTTTGTTGGAATTTAAAATATATAATTCTTTTGCCAATTGTCAAAGTAAAAGCCTTTTACTTATACTTATTAATAGTATAAATATATACTGTGTTGTTATTGGGCTTAAGATTCTTCTACAGTAAGTGCCTGTGACTTGTTAGCAATAAATTCAATGATAAATGAACAGCACGCATTTCATTTGTTTTCAAAATAATATATATTAGGTCATCAAGAAAGTAATGTCCCTTTTTTTTTTAGATGAAAAAAACCCAAACATCTTATGTATCAAAAGGAAAC